CAAATGTTCTTGAGAGTTGAAAATATATCTTTGATTCATAGCAAAGATGCTTCATAGTGAAAAGTACCAGGGAATTAAACACTAGATTCAGTTATTTATTATGGTAAATGGCAATGAAAACAGTTACATACGTTGTGAGGTTGTGGTAATACAGCTAGAGACCAGAGAGGCAGGGGTTTCCTGGTAAACGTCCAGCTCCGTTTTCTTACTGAGTAGTTACTTTTAGGTTTATTTTAATAATGTTCACTAACAGCTGAGAGCAAACCAAAACAGTGATTCTAAAAAGCATAAATTTTATGTTTCCAGTGTTTTTGCCACTTAATATTTCATAATTTTTATGGAAAAAAAATTTAAAAATAAATGAATAAAAATCAATAAAAGCAAATCTATCTTTTGAAGAGACCAATAAAACTTAAAAATTGCTAGCTAGCATGATCAAGCCAACAATAAGACTCAAAGCCAATGATGTAAGAGAGAAGAACACCAGAATACAGAAATAGAAACAGTCAAGGACCAAGAAAACCTAAGTGAAAACAGCAAGGCGTGACTTGTACAAAGTGCACAGGTTTCTGAAAAACTGTTGCTGCTAACACCCCTGAGGAGAAATAGCTGATCTGGGTAGCTTATTAGCTATCGAGTGAAGGCTAACAGCCATAGTGGGAAGCTCAGACTTAATAGCTGCATGGAAGAAGACCACCATCACTTACTGAAGGGATAGAACTAAGTCTATGCAAATTACTATAGGGAATTGAAGAGAACATTTCTCAACTCGCTTCATGAAAACGGTTTTACCTTGATAACAAATGGAATTAGCAGAAGCATACAATGGGTATATTTTATGAAATCAGCAGACAGAGCATTAATAGATATTAATAAATCAGAGCAATTGAAATTACAAATGAGCAATAGTCATGACTAAACAGTTTGTCCTTTGGCAAGCACGAACGACAGGAAGCGTTGAAGAATGTGAGTCACCATAAAAGCAAGTGATCACAGACCTTACAAATCAGCTATGGCTAAACTCCACACCCACTGAAAATAAGCACCCTGCAAAACAGATACCAAAGTTGTGACAACTCTAGTGTATGGTGGGCCTGCTTTTTTCTGTGTTGGTTTCTTATTAGCTAACAGAATATGGCTGTGTAATGGGATGCCACATCCGTAATTATCTTCATGACTCACCCTCACTTAGTGTTGACCTTGAGGAAGCCAGATGCTAGGTAACAAGTTGCATCTGGAGATAATTACACAGCAGGGAGATGCTCCCTTTAGATTCCCACAGAATCTTTAGGGGTAGCCAGCAGAAATCTGGGATCTCAGCTCCCTGTGTGAGAAGCGAATTCTATAACAGCCCAATTGAGCTCTGGAGTGGATTCTTGTTCCTCTGAAAAATTACTCTTTCCTTGGCTTCTGGAGGTGAGACCATGAACCAGCAGCTGAGATTGGTCGTGAACAAGTTCCTGAACCAGGAACTCTGGAAAATGATGGTAGTCAAACAAGCTGTTGAGCCCACAGCCGTGTATTACACACAAGGAAAGTAATATAGATTTTTGGGACTCAGAATAAGATCTCTGCTGCGACAGCTTCCCAAAAAATGTGGCTTTGGAACACAGAAGAGGAGACTGTTCAGATCCAGAGAGAAAAAACCCACAAATACAGGCCATGACAGACAGAGACTGCATTTCCCTGCATGAATCTCACTTGGAAGACCTGCCAGTGAGGGTGTCAAAGGAAGTGAAGGCCAGTTATGGGACCTTCCCTTAACTTGACAGAGGGTCTGTATGAGAAAAGAAGAAGCAACACAGATAATGAAAAACTGACAGCGCTGTCTGTTTTCACTTCTTTATCCAATGTGAGGTCCTACAAGATAAATAAGGCAAGAAAAGTCAATATTCAGCAAGTAGATAAAAACAATGAAACACGACAAACTCACAGACAACACGGCTGCCCACACAGAACCTCTCTCCAAATGTTCAGAAACAATCCAGTAGAACCAAGAAACAAAGCCCAGGCAGTTCCACAAGCTATAACACAAATATACAAAAATCCATTTCATTAATATACATGGCAAAAACACATGGACCAATAAAAATAATCCACAATAGCATAAAATGCAAACTCATACAAACAAATATGTATTATTTGCATGTCAAAAATGTACAAAATGGATTAAAAAATTTAAGATATGAAAAAGGCTTGGAATATTTTCAAATTTCAGTTTCTCAATATTTCTGAGATACTATTTCTGGCCAAATTGGCCAACTGATTCAGTGCGATCCCTGTCAAAATCCCATCAGACATTTATATCTTTGAAGAAACTGGGAATCTGTGAAATTTATATAGAAAAGTAAAAGGCATCTACTAAATTGTATGATTATGATAAGAAAGTTAATGAGGGCTTATAGTACATGACTTCATGATATACAATGCAGCTATATATAGTAATATATATAGTAATTGAGAGAGTATCGGTGGCGTAAAGACAGGATATAGATTGGTGTAAAAACAGAAAAGAAAGCACAAATGGACACAAACACATATAACCTGTTAGTTTTCATTAGAGGCACCTGGCAGCCCTATTCAGGATGGTACTATTCCTAATAATGGATCAGGAGTGACTGGAAACAGACATCAGAGAAAAGCCTCACGACCATTAAGCCCTGCTGATTTGCAGAAGTCTAAGCCAAAGGGAAAGCCTGAGTTACAAAAGACGCAGAGCAAAGCTTCAGAAGACCAAGCAGGACTCTGAACTTGGCAAAGGCAGGAAACTGGGATGCATGCTATTAAACAGGACTTCATACAAACGTAAAAGCCTCTCCGTGAAGGGCGATATTTAGAGTGTGAAGGAACAAGCCATAGAACTGGGACTCATACTGCACCCGGAATCTGAAAATAACTTATAATTTAGCATTAAAAAGGCAAGTCAAGAAAAAAAATTGAATTGCTGCCAAAGAAACAATACCTTTAATTAATATGCAGAGAAAAATGCTGATTGGACACCATAAATGTAAATTAAAACCACAAGGAGACAGCATATCTACCAGACTGACTGAAATCGAAGAAATGAGAACTTATGATGGTGGATGATGGCAAGGAAACAGCCACCATTTGCAAAGGTTCGTAAGCATCTCCTAAGCTCGGGTACATGAGTTCTGTACTCCCTGTTGAACTGCCCCAGGCATTTAAGCAACCTAAATGACATCTGGGCATGAATTTCTCCAATGTCTACACACAGTTCCTACCAGTGGTGTCTGTAAACAATCTCAGCTCCCATCAAGGGACCTGTGATTTCACTGCAATGGGACGTTCCTGCCAATAAAGGGACTGGTATGTAGACAAAGTGACAGCCAAAAAGATGAGTTAAAACAATCTGACACAGACACCAGCCATTCATAATGCATTTTGGAAAATACAGCCAGGCTAGATAAGTTCTGGGGGTGTTGAAATGATTTAATTGATTACAGCTAATGACTAACTACCTGTAAAAACATACTCAGTTGCATACCTATATTGGGGATTTTACTCATTTAGCTTTAAAAAGTCTGAATTTGAAAATAGACATACTACTTAAATCTGCTTCTCTATTGACTGTGTTTTTATACACTCCTAAACTGGTTGATGTTTAAAGTGTTAAGTGTATTTTGATGAAATAGGTAATTTAAAATGTTTCACAAGTTTAAATATATGAAATGAGTTTGGAAGTAGCTTGTTAAATCTAGTTTTTAAATTCTTAGTGTTGTAATTGTATTATGACTTCAATCCCCCAAGACTTGTAATTACTAAACAATATATTGTTCTAGAATCTAGAAAATAAAGAAAGCAAAGAAATAACAGACAATATGTAAAGCAGACCAGCTCTTCATCCATCCTGTGTGTCAGTCTTGGTATGAGAGGCTGGTAGCTCCATTACGTTGAGATGCTGAGAAAAATGCAATTGTTGTAGAGTTGGGAAAAAAATTTTCAAGGTCTGGATTTGTTTTCCCCTTCCATATTTTAGTTTGAGGTAGAAACTCTGATTTTGAAGCACATCACATTGTTTAATGTATTGTATTTTCTACTAGGGTGTGCATATTGTTTCTTTAGTTATCCACTGTAAATTTCCTTCTCATTCTATTGTATCCTCTGGTGCAAAACTTTGACCAGCCTCTTTGTGCCTTTTGAGAATATTCCCCTAGCTGAGAACTCCAGCCTCCTCTACTCATGTGGACGAAGTCCTGGAGGCTTTTACTCTCTGCTTCATGTAATTAAGATGGCGCCTCTCTCTGAAAACCACCATCTGCATTCCAGGTCCAGTCTGCTTCAGACTCTTTCAGGTACTAGGACGTCAGCAGCCTTTCTGGGTTCTAGTTCTACTTCCATCTTACCTGTTCATGTTTCCACAGACCTCTCACTCCAGGACAAATCTGAGTCAGCAAGATAGTCACATGTTGAGTTTCATTTTTTCCCATGAGATTTCTTAGCTAATAGATTCTGAACCACAAGCAACCTTTTTATTTTCTGCTGAATCTTTATCATTCACATCTCCCCATCTACTACACCTTTAGGCTTTTTCGTTTGCGCTAGCTGCTATTTCTGCGACCCAGACACTTCTTATTTGGAGTCAGACTCAATTTCTTTGGTGGGGACACTCAACTCTTAAAGCATGTGTGGGCACCTTTAAAATTCCTCTGTTTTGAATTTCCATCAGGTCCATGATGCTAATTTCTCACCATGACTGCAACCAATATCTATTTTCTTGATTTTGACTCTCACCCTTGGAATTCTGCTGAGAATTACAGAAAACCAATGCCATACTGTGCCAGCAGGGTCTTCCTTCTCGTTCTTGCTTTTTAACCGTCTTAATGAAACCCCAGGCTCTTGGTAGCTGTCCTACCATTCTGTTAACTAAAACAATTGATTTTATGTTCAAAACTATTATCACAAAAGTTCCATCTAAGCACACCATAAGCCAATGTAAATACGAATAGAATATAAGTAAAAATCAAATAATTTATACTCACTTAGAAATGGGATTGACACTGGCTTCAATAATGGTTAAACACTTACAGCACTTTATGTTTTCTGGAAATTCTTGTACACCTAAAAAGTCAGAAAAAAAAAACAAAGACATGAGTTCATGACTATATCCCAGCAAGTTTATCAAAGCTCTGATTCCTACAGTGAAAACAAACTATCCAAACCACCAAGTTTGGATCTAAACTCCATGTAGGGCAAATATTCAAGCAGAGATGGTAACTGAATATGACAAAGCCACACAAAAAGACAGGTGTACACACAATTTTCCTTATAAAATGAACATCAGATAATACTTTAGGATAGTCATAGCTGGAAGCTGCATGTAAAATCAAGGATAACCAGATTTGGCTCTTGACCAACTCTCAGGGATGAAAATAAAAGTAGCCTGGTGACACGGTTTGTTGTAAGGATTCTGGCTGTAAAAACACCACCACACATCCACACTCCCACCACTGGCTTTCAGCTGAGAACACAGAACTGTTTGCCCTCCCCTGTAGGAACACCCCAAGCTCACTTCTGGGAATCTCTGGGCATTCAATCTTCTAATGCGTAGGCTGGGTTTGGAGTCAGGCTGAACTGGTCTTCACATGAGAGCTTCTACTGGTCACCAATTACATGGGGCATTGAGTTTTATAGGCAAAATGGTATGTTTGCTTTAAAAACGGGCATTTTCCTCATTCACAAGCAGCAAATGACATCAGTCAATATTTATACCCCAATTGAGGACACTGTGTTGATACTTCTCCGATGTATTCATTTCAGTAAATGTACCACAAAATCTAAGTTGATTATATTCACAAAATTATTGAAAAAAATGGCAAACAGCATTTGTACATTCTGATCTCAAGGCATCTTAGAGATAAAGCTTTTAACATCATAGAATTAATAAAATCTGTATTAACAAATTATTAATTACTTGAAGAAGATAGATACAATAGGTTATGTAGTTGATACATCTAATTCTGTTCTTTAAACTCTTGGCTTTTAAAACATGAAGTTTTATGTTTTACGTTGGGTCGAGCTCTTGAAGTCCAGTTGAGAGGAAACAGGGATCATATGAGCAGGGGTGGGGTAGGGTGGGGTCAAGATCATGATGAGGAAACCCACAGAGACAGCTGACCCGAGCTAGTGGGAGCTCATGGACTCTGGACTGACAGCTGGGGACCAAACTAGGCCTTCTGAATGTGGGTGACAGTTGTGTGGCTTGGTCTTTTTGTGGAGCCCTGGCAGTGGGACCAGGTGCATGAACTGGCTTTTTGGAGTCCATTCCCTATGGTGGGATACCATGTTCAGCCTTGATGGGGTGGGGCGAAGGAGCTTGGTCCTGCCTCCACATGATATGTCAGGCTTTATTGATCCTCCGTGGGAGGGCTTACCCTCTCTGAGGAATGGATGGAGGAAGGGGGGAGAAGGTGAGAGGAGAGAGAGGGGAGAGAGAACTGTGGTTGATATACAAAAATGAATAAAAATATAAAGCTTGAACATTTTTAATGTTCCTGCTTTGGGCTGGGGTTGTAGCTCTGTGGGCAAAGCATTTGCTGAAGTACAGGGAGTCTTGGGCTTGATTCCCAGCACCACATATACAAGGTTTAGTGATGCATGTCTTCAATCCCAGCAAAATTGGGAGATGGAAAGAGAATGGTCAACCTTGGTACTTAGTAGTTCAAGGCCAGCTAGGGCTACAAAAACCCTGTTTCAAAAGGAAAAAAAAAACCCATCTCCATTTGACCATCATGCTTGTTCATTCTTCTATCAGGAAACAGTACGTATAAGGTAATAAAGAAATCTGAGATTAATCAATTCATCATTCATACCTGGTATGAGGAGGGGAGACAGAAAATCATGAATAAATGTCTGGTTAGGAGGTTTAATTTTTTGCTTTTACTTGGGTTTTTCTATCCAAGGAAGACAGGATACCCTGAATAAAGCCACATCATCCACCCAGGCTCATATATGATTGAGTGTAACACACACATATGTGCCCAATTACAAGGGTAAACTCTTGAGATTGATACTGAGTGTCCTCCTCAACCTTCCTTCATCTTATTTTTTGAGAAAGGATCTGCCACTAATCCCAAAGCTCACTTATTTGGCAGGACCCCAGGTACCCTCCTATTCCACATCTTCAGTGTTGGGATCACATCAGGCCACCACACCTACCATTTTAAGTTGATGTTGGGGAGCGGAGCTCAGAGTTAACTATTTGAATCACATCCCTGCCCCTTAGAGAAGCTCTTAAGCTTGTAGTTAAAAGAGCTTTCAGCTTTCTCTAATGATAAAAGGGCTTCTGAAGTCAACCTGTGTTTTTAAAAATGGCTTTAAATGTATGTCCAAGTATGGAAAGAAACATTCTTTCTGAACAGAAGTTAAGTTTGGAACCCAAATGTAGGAAAAAAAAGTCTCTTCATTATTAAGCACCGAGCTTAACAACAATAGAGCATTGGTCCCCGAGTCTATAAATAGACACCACCCAGAGGGAAACCTACCTGGAGATTTCTGCGACATGAACGTTGTCTTACCATCTCATTTTCCTGATGTTTGCTTTATTTGATGTAAGTTTTGCCTGTCCTCATTATTTTCTCACCCAAACCCAGGTCTAAATACCAACTATTATATAGGGAAATTTAAATTCTAACATTTGCATGAGGATTTATTCAACTAATCCCCTTACTTCTTAATGCCTATTGTTGTGGCTTACATTGCATCTTAAATTGAATGAGACTAGAAAAAAACAACAGAAAAAAGAACAACTAAACAAAATAAAATACCACTGTCATAGTTATGTGTTAAGGACATTGTTACTAATGTTTTAATATATTTTTAATTTAGGTTCCTGAAGAAGGGGAACAGTCACACATTTAACATGTTTTCCTGAGTGCTTACTGTGTTGGGAAGTGCTGAACTTTGAGGAAACAAATGGGGGAAAAGATGGGAAAGATGGGGAATTCTTTTTATTTGAGTTTATATTTTATCAGGTGAAAAATATATATGTAAATGTAAATATATACTGTGTTTTAGCAATGAGTAGGAAAACCACAATATAGTCAGACATTGGGGTTCATTAATGTTTAATTTCCTAGGATCTACCTAGAGAAACAATGACAACTTGGCAAGTGCTTGTTAAATTGCCTCTAGATTATATTTCACATCAATAACTTGGAGCATTGAATTAAAATACATTTAAGATACGGAAAGAAGCAGTTAATTTTGATACGGAGGATGTAGATTTTAATTACCTATATTAAGATAAAAAGGATAATTATCTCTTTTCAAACAAACAAAATGTCACAGACTTTCTAAATGCCACATTTAAATGATTGAGAGCTCCTTCAAATTTATAAGAAGCATTTCTTGCTTATAAATTTTTGTGCAGATGAATATATGTAAGTATGGTTGATATATACTGAATGCTTCTGTTTTCGGAATTGCATGAATTGCATAAATACTCCATATAGTTTACTCTGTGCTATAAGTGCTAAATGCTAGAGAAAAAATTTACAGTGCCCTATCTTACATAATAAAACAACAAAAATATAGCTAATAAGATGTTCCATTTTTATTTTACTTATTACCGATCTTTGAAATTGTGCTTTTTTTATTTTGAGGAGAACAGGCAGGTGACTTGTGTGCTGAACAAGTTTGTTAGACCCCGAGGATTAAAAGATGAAATGCACAGAGAAGAATGCTATACACACTTTATTTCAGTCTCAAGAATTTCTAAAAGAATGACTAACAAAGCAAGTAAGGTTTAGTGCCTGGCCAGGATTTTAAATCAGCACATCTCAGATACTGTCATGTTTGCCTATTCTGAGAAACACTAATGAAATCTAGGATTTTTTAATTTCTAGCAACACAACTGAACTTGATTCTGGGACATATCTTGGGAAAAGTATAAAGTTTTTATGACCTTGACCCATAGTTTATTCATAGAGGGATACTTGTGACTTGGTCCAAATGCAGTGAACAACACCAATTCTGTGTTCCCTTTCTTTACTCCAATAATAGAGGTTCTGAGTGAGATTTTTGTGAACTGGTCTATTAAGCATTATTTTGTCTTTAATGTTTACTTCTCCCTTCATTTTCACTAGACTGCTTCAGTGAGCATTCCATCCACCTATATTTTGATAGGAGGTGCTGTGGCCCTGAGGGCAGTGTAAGGTTCAGCTCCTTTTTACAATGGGTGAAGGGTGCTGCGTGGGAGGGAAGACTCAAAACAGCTCTTATAAGTTAAATTTCATTCTCTTCAAACTACTTGTATGGATGTACAGACCATGGAGAATTTATCAATCATGCATTTTTGAAAACGTCCTGCAGTGACCCTGAGACCCTGAGCCCTAGCTGACAGGAGTCTGAGAGGGCTTCAGAAGGTGAGGAGATGGCACTCTCTTTCCTTGTATTAACGTGGCTGCTGGCATGTTTCATGCTTTGTGTCCGCATGAAGACACCAGAGTTTAAAGCTTGGTGCTGGACTGTGGAGGTGACAAGAGAAACAGATTTGATTTTCGTCATCATGGGGTGATTTAATGGAGCAAATGAGACTTTGAGTTTATTTGACCCATGGCGAACAGAAGAGATTCTAAAGACAGGAAAAGTAGACCTAAGGTGCAAGAGATAGTGATTTTTGCTGAGTTCTGCAGTAATGGTGTTGAAGTAAGGACTTTTATAGGGCAGAGTACCCACGGGCACAGTTATTGCATGATGATTATGACCATGTGCTGCCGTTTGCTCCCTAACCCGTTCAAAGCATCTCTAGTAAATTCCTGGAGAATTTACAGCACCGACAGTCAGAGGTTCTCTACCAATATCCTCAAAGGTTTAAGGATTTTTAAAAGTCTGTTAACTTCTTCTGCCCGTGACTCCAGAACAGAGAAATGCCCTTTCTTCCTGCAGATGGGGAGAGTGATTCGTTCCGTGTTTCATGAGTGCTTCAGGAAGGGGTGGAATAATTGGCACATCACTATTACACATAATAACCCTTCAACTATGATTGCCTCTTATTACAACTAACAATAGTGATTTTGCCCACCATGGTGCTTCTCAAATCTATTCATGTATAGAAATAA